CAAATACTTCCACTCTATAGTACTGAAAATTTTCTTTTTCCAACGCTGCATAAGTTGGAATTTGTTTGATTGCTTCTCTCTTTTTTCAACCCTGCTTCTTGTCTTGATATCCATTAATCCATATACCTTTGTTAGGTTTACTAGTTAACCAATTAGTTGCAAGCAACTATATTCTGTGCAATTTTTTTACTGCAAACATATTTGTTTTGACATTTATGCACCTCTCACCCTTAGTATAATAAATTAAGTCATCTGCCCACTTCACTACTAGAGAATGCGCTTTTTAAATCTTGACAGTGGTTCTAAACCACGGCTAGAAGCCAGGATTCATAATCAGGCCATGAAGTAGTGGTCCATGGTATAATCAGAATTAGCTGCGAGAAACCCTCTTTCAAGTAGGATGGAATGACCAGCCAGAAAAGAAAACTAGAAATGGAAATCCATTGGGTAGAGGATCAAATGCAGTCAGACGACAAGAACTCTCATCATAGGCTGCAACTGCAGCGAGCAGAGTCTCGAGGCAGAAAATGCGATTCTAGCAACTATTGTTTAGTTTCTTAGTAGAGAGAACAAAATCGCATGACCTAAAATTGTTTGTATATGTTGTTCTTGATTCACGCAGTAATTGTCACTTGTCAATCTGGACTGACCACTGATATAAGTAAATTGCACTTTTTCCCCTGCTGTTGTTTTGGCCTTTAATTCATATCTCTATGTATTTCAGGCTCTCAGCTCAATTCTACTCGGTTAATATACACTAAGTAGCAGTTCTTTTTTGTGATTAAAGGGTCTTCATGTGTCATTTTTGTGCATGCATTTACTGCAGGTGAACAGTGCTGACAGGTCTGTTCTTACTGATCTGTTTTTGGGTGTCTCAAAATCCTCCACTAGCACATGTTTTTTTAAATCCAGGGGACAAGGACTTCACCAACATCTTACATCGATTAAGGATGAATAACTACCATCTTTGCTCTTGGGGCAATGACGCAGTCAGTGATTAGGCTATACAGAGGTTCGACAATTGCTGGTTGAAAACTATTTCCAATGCCCCCGTAGCCGTAGGCCTTGGCTTGTTCTGGACTTCGAGAATTTCTTAAAGGGTCAAAGGAATCGTTATTTCGGAGCTTCAGTCAGAGTTGAGGATTAATGTGCCTTTGGATACAAAAAGTTCTCTCGCTTGCTTAAATATCTTGCCACTGTTTTAAAGCATCAGACTGCACGCAATGGTCAGATACTTGTGCATGGTAATCAGTCAAAATTTGCCGAATCAGTTGATCTTCCAAAGACGTTGGCCCAGTTGATCAACCAAAAGTTGCTGAACCGTTGATATTCCAAAGATTGATGTACCACTCGATCAGCCAAAAGTTGTTGAAGCAGTTGATATGCCAAAGATCGCTGCACCACTCAATCAGCCAAATGTTGCTTAACCAGGTGACTCTAGGTTAATCACAGATTCAGAAGTTAATGATGGTGACAAGAGTAGAATGTTGCTGAAAAGTTTAAAAGTGGACATAATGCTGTCACTACAGATTGGGATGACAAATCATCAGGTCCAGCATCCTCCCCACCAGAACGACACCCTTCTTCCGATGGTCCCAAAGAAATAATGTAGACCTTGTGGAAGATCATCTCTGTGCTGCGGAGCAAAATAATTCCAATTCTGAGGTTGGGTTTTTTGGAAGAGCGTGGAGAGCATGGATTTTTTTTTTTTTTTGGCCACTGAGTGATGTTTGCTATGTAAAAGTAACAACTCCCCTGAAATTTGTTCTACTAGTTCAGTTTATTCATCAACGTTAATTGAATCTGTTTGGGAAGAAAAAGCTCCAACAAAAAGAAAAGAAACTGGTGTATATCTAGAAAGACCAGTAAACCAGATGATACAAGCAGGGACCGTGGTGAATAAGTGAAACAGATGAACTATCAAACTGGCAATAATGAGTTTCTCGAAGGAGGCTTTCTGGGAGGACATGATGTTGTTTATACAGAACCCAAGGGGTGCGCTGCTAATCTCCCAATCAAATACCAGGTAATCTTTAGATCGTCTTTTCTATAATATTTGGCCTCTTTTGTTGATGATTCTCTCCCACAAACCACTTGCACGTTCTGTTTATTCAAAGTTCAAACTATGTTCACACCTCATTGGTGGTGCACTACTGTGAAATGCAGCTATTAGGTTTTAGGCCCAATCCTAGCTACAATAGAAATTTACTTGTGTGAGCCTCGCATTTTCTAGGATCTTGGAATGGAAATATGTACTAGATGTATTTATTGTTACTTCTTAACATAAAAAGTTGAGACTAATAAATGAATCAGCATAAGGAGACAAGTGTGCAGGATAGTAGGAAAATTCTTGACATCCAGCATTTGTGTGCTTTTCTGCTTCTTATACATAATTCATCTAATGCTCATAGTTGAAAGGACTTGAGTTCATTATATTTGACAAAATCATTTCTGTCCAACTTGAGGAGACCAGATTGTGAGAGGGGTGACTGATATGTTGGAAGGGACAACCAGAACGATCCACTATTAGCATCACTAAACCATTACTTTTTGAGAAATATGGATATGAATTGGACTATCAAAAGATTGGTTACTCTAAACTGGCAGCCTTGTTACAAACAATTCCTAGAATCATTGTAGGTTTAAATTTTGTCCTACCTTCTGAAAAAATCATCAAAACTTATCCCAACAATGTAAAATGTACAGCACTGTAAAGGCAAGCAATTTGGATTCTGAGTTATCCAAGTCTACAGTGAAGGACAATGATCATGATACATTATGGAAGGAACTTGGTCCCATATCTCAGACAAATTCCAAGTGGAAGCTTGAGGTCATGTATGGAAGGGATGGGACAAAGGTATGAAGAAACAGGGCACGTAGTCTTTGGTGGTAGTTCTTATTTGTCAAACAATTTTTCAGAGTCAGACAGATAGTCTCCCATCAAAGATATTATAGATGAAAGAATGGTGAGGGAGAGAGCTCACTTCTACAGATTCTAGATAGGATGGTTTGCTCAGGATGACAACGTCATAACGGCAACAAGGAAAATCTATTGGATTGTTGGCTCTAGGATTGACCTTGAGCTTTCATCGTATGATAGTAAGGTTTATGCACCCCTCACATCCAGAACACTGAATAGAGGAAGATTTGGAGGACACTTTTTCACTTTGGTATATAGTTGAGGATAAGAAGGAAATATGGTAAATGACATATAGTTAGTTTGAAAAAAGTCATCTAATATAAAATTGCAGAGCTAGGAGGGCTGAGACTGTTGGTGGGATGATTAAGACAACTGAGATTGGGTAAAGGATGGGAAGTTGAGACACATCTGCAAGCTTAGTGCATCTATTATGTAAGTATTGGAGCCTGTAAATGCAATTTACCCCTTTGGCGGTACTAGACTGTTTCTGGTTGCAATCTATTCCAGAGATGGTATAGTACTTCTTGACAGACCCTAGGATTTGGAGACCAATGGCATATGCTGAAGAATGATGTATGTAGCTCTTTTCTTCGTTGTCTGCTAGCTTTTCACATATTTCTTGTGAAAATTTCAAGTACACCGAGTTTACATTGCGGTGCAAACTAACCTGAAACTATTCACACAGTTTCTATTATCATATTTATTAAGAAGAAACAAAATTTTGTTTCGAATTTTGTTGATGTTTCTAATTAACTTTATCATTGAGATGGACTACTCTTAATTTGCTGCAAAGATGCTGGTTTGAGGGTAAATTTAAATTTAGTATGGTTTTTTTTTATAATTAAAATTTTATTGATGAAAAAAGAAAAAACACAACAACCTGATGATTACTGTGCTTGATGAGGACATGCCTCACCCCACAACAGACACAAGCAGTAACCCTAGTACAAATTATATTAGATGTCAACTGAAGTCTGTTTGTCCCTAGATGCTAAGATGGTGTCGGCCTCCTCATTTTCCATCTGACTCACATGATCCTTTCATTACGACTGTGAAGCTATTTCACTGAACATTCTTTTTTGACCTTCCTTGCTCATAGACGTTGTCATTCCTAGTTCTTTGGCAAGAGGTATAACAAAGAATTCAACAAAATTATCCTTATCCTCCTTAGTCTTACCGTTATAAATACTCTCTGCAATAGCCCCCATTTGTTGAAGCCCTTCCGATACAACAACTTCACTTCCCACTGTGGATGATAAGTTAGTTTGCACAGCTGAAATAGGCTCCTTATGTGCACAATTGACATCCTATGAAGCTCAATTTGAGCTTCCCCTCCTTCAGTATCAATTTGTTTCCCCTCATTTCCATTATTCTCATCTCTAGTCACCCCATCTCTGGCTAAATTCGAGAACATTTGAATCTGTCCTTCAGCTCCTAAGGAGGTTGTCATGCCAAACTTTCCAGCGATTGGAGCAACATTCCATGTAATCCAGTTGTAAAGATCACCAGTAGTTTTACAATTCAAAAGGCTCTCAAAAGTGTCAGCTTTGTCGGGGATCTCAGATTGGGTATGAGGCCTGGAACATTCATAAGGCTCTGGGCCAATTGAGATATCTTGTTGCTGCTCCTCAATACCTTTCCCTTTCTCAGTTGGATCAGGTTGTTCTCTTTTCCGAATGGTTGGGCTTTCTTGTGGTAGAGCTTGCTTCCACACCCGTTTCACAGGCCTCTAGACTTGTTCCTTCGTGAGGCTTGCCCATTATGAGACATTGTACTAATATGGGATTCATTTGCAGTAGGTCCAACACTACCACTTGAAGTAGAAATCTCATTGATGGCCCCTCCTTGACATTCCTCTGATCCTAGTGCTCGCATGATATCAAAGCGATTAGAATTTGGGCTTGGGCCTTGGTTACTGCTTGAATTGTCCATGGGTGTTTCAGCGACCCTTGTCTCTGAAAACGACTTAGCGTTACTGTTCTCCACCACTTGCCAGTCAGGGATGCACTTTTTAGACCCAAGTGCTGGCTATTCAACCAAGCTAGAAAAGCCAGGTGGTTTGGAGAGGTCAGAACCTTGTCTGCTTGTATTTCCCACGGGGCGAAAAGGTCCATTGACCATGTTGGCCGGATTGGCCCTATCGAAAAACGAAGATCTCCAAGCCTTCACCGGTGATATCGCCTTTATCTCCTTCATAACTCTTGCTACATCAACCTCCACCCATATGGCGGAATAATCATACCCACGTTTTTCAAGAGAGATAATTCTAGGTATACTACCAAGATCTTTTGTGTGAACTTTGGCTCTACAACCTGAAGAAATAGACAACAAGGGAGATTCCACTTCCACTTCCCTAACAACACCACACTGATTCGCCAAAGATGAGACCACCTCTTTCGTTCTCAAATGTAGTGGCACACCCAAAAAAGATATCCAAATTTCCTTCTTCGAAAGCAAATTGTTAAGAGCTCCAGTTTCGGGATTCCATCTCTGGAAAGAGAAATATCTTTCCCAAGTCACTAACGGTGGGAGAGATAGGATCCTTTGAACACACGCTTCCGAATGTATAATCACTAAAGCACCTCCCTCCCTTTGTGGTTTGACATTGGCCCCCTCGAAAAGCTCCCTTACTCTTCCTTCAAGGCATTCCCAGTTTGGGTTAAGACAGTTTGTCTTACATATCACCGTCGTGAGCCACCAATGTATTGTTGTATGCATAGGCGGATTTCGTAGTTTACATTTTTTTTTTATTTGCCTGCAATATAATAGGTTCCTGACATATGAGCAGATCACTGTTTTGTTTTTCATCTAACCCGTCGAGGGTTCCACGCAAATAAGCACACTTTATATTACAATCTCCATTTTTACGCAGCATGTATTGGGGTATGAATAAAGATTCTGGCAATCTCCATTTCAAGTATTTTGTTTAGCTGTTAATTAGTACAGAGTGTCTAACAATGTTGATTCAGCCTAGTCTGTATATTTCTTCTTTTCCTCTGATTCTATAGCATCTCTTTTTTTTCAACAAAACAAGTTAGAGCTAGAGTATAATTATGGTATGATCGATCACACAGGCCTGCATATATGGAAATGAGAAAGAGAACAGGTTTTGTATCTTCATTCTTCTGATGGACTGGCCAAAGCCCAAAGGTGATGGCAGAGTTTGTTCATGGGCTTGTTCATACAGCAGT